GCTTGACCAACCAAACCTACAAATAGATAACGTGATGAAAGTGGTACATGAACTATAGGACAATAGTTGGATTAAACCTTTGTGGAAATCATCTTCTAGTCCCTCTATTATTTGATGTTCATGTTTTATAATCTCTGGCCCATTTAACAAAACCAAATGTTGACAAATAACAGTAGTGATATGAAGACCCCCCTTTTTTTTTTCTTTTTTCTTTTTTCTTTTTTTAACCATATATGAATCATGAGTGTGTGACATGAAGACTTTAAAGTCTACGGGTCTTCAGATAATAATAACATTAATAATAATAATAATAATAATAATAATAATAAAAGATATATTCAAAAATTGAAAAAAGCTTTACCAACCAAACGTACAAATAGATAATGCGATGAAAGTGGTACATGAACTATAGGACAATAGTTGGATTAAACCTAGTAGAAGTCATCTTGTAGTCCCTCACCTAAGAAAAAATAAAAGGTTTTCTTTAAGAAAGACCAAAACTACTTTTAATTAAGATCCGATTTACACTTCCAAATTTTTTTAATTAAGTAAAAAGGAAAAAAATGTATTACAAAAATATGAAAGAACACTAATTGATACAACATTCATTTCAATATATTGTACAACATATTTATTAAAAAAATTATTATTTTTTATTTGAACTTCAAGGTAAACAAACTTAAAAATGCAACCATACATAAAAGATACACAAACTTGTTAAATCAACTATATTTATATTATATTCTAGGTTAAATGCCAATTCTGATCTTTTAACTCTAAAAAAAAAGGCACATTCTTTATTCTTATATCAGTTAGTTTATTAAATTTATTCGTATATGTGCATTTAAGTTTAGTGACTAATAATGTGTATATTTAGATAGACTTAATAGACTAATTGATAGAAGAACAAAAAAGTACATTTTTTAGAGTTAAGGGACTAATAGAATGCTTTTAAACTAGATGAGGGACAAAACTATGCAAAATCTTAAAATTGAGGAATGAAAATTGACATTTAACCTATATTCCAATAGCTTAACTAGATAAAGGGGCATTAATTTTGGTCTATTGAAAACAGTTATCAGTTGTTGGTTTTAATCAATCAAATTAAATATTTTAAATTCTAAATATCAATAATTATTATTTATTAGATATCAACTATTAGCTATCAGTTGTGTTTTGAAAAACCTAATTCAAACAATTTATTAGTAATTGAATAAGAGAGTATACCAATTATTTTTTAAAATGAAAAATTAACCCACAATAATTTTTTTTTGGGGTAATTACAACTTTGTTATTTGATATTCATGTTTCATGATCTTTGGTCCAGTGAAATTAAAAGGTTAAAATCCCAATTTGGTTTCTCTATTTGGATAAAAAGTTTTTTTAGTTCTTCTACTTAAAAAAGTCCCCTTTGGTTCTTAAAATTTGAAATCCAATCCCCTTTTAATTTTTTTGTTAAATTTTACACAAATGACATATTAGATATGACAAAAATTTCAAAATAGAGGGGCAAAAAGCAACTAAAAATAACTCCAATTTGATGCCTCTACTTTGACCAAAAAAAAAAACATTTTTTTGTCCTTTTACTTCAAAAAAAAGTTATTTTTAGTTTTTTTATTTTGAGATTTCCATTAAGATAACATGTCACAAAATAAAAACTTAACAGAGGGACTAAAAATAGAGTCAGATTTCAAACTTAAGGACCATTTTTAAATAGAAGTACTAAAAAAATTTTTTTTATCAAAATAAAGGGATCAAATTAAAATTTTAACCTAATTAAAAAACCAATGCCAACCCCATTCCTCCCCCATGGTTAATTAATGAGAATATTTAAATACTAAATTTACTAATATCATGGGACAGCAGTCACGGCTCTTTTGTCCACTCTACTGTTTCCACTGCGTCCACTGTGAATATTATATATATATATATATATTTAGTGAATGTGAATATTTTATTTTTGCATCACGTGGTTGTTTAATTTTTTTTAAAAATTTTTTAATTTACATTTTTAAAATATAAATTAAAAATATTTTTTTATAATAAATT